GATTGTGTATTATTTAGTTTCCTTGTGTTTATAGAGTCAGTCTCTTATGTATTAATTTCCAATTTTATAGCACTATGATAAGATAATATGCATGGCATAATTTCATTTCTTTTACATTTACTTAAGCTTGTTTTGTGGGTTAGTATATGGTCTATTTTTGGAAATGTGACATCTGAAGCTGAGAAGAATGTGTATTCTGTTGTTGGGTAGAACATTGTACAGATCTATTAAGTCCATTTGTTCACAAGTTTGATTCAGTTCTGCTATTTCTTTGCTGATTTTCTGCCTAGTTGAACTGTATCTTTGTGTTAATGGATATGTTAAGGTCTCCTATGATAATTTTATTATTATTTATTTGATCTTTCATTTCTGTTAATGTTTGTTTTATATAGGTGGGTGCTCCCATATTTGGTTCATATATATTTAATGTTGCTATCTCTTCCTCTTGAAGTTTTCCCCTAACCAGTATATAGTGATCCTCTTTTTCTCTTCTGATCACTCTTGGTTTGAAGTTCACATTGTCTGCAAACAGAATAGCTACCCCTGCATTTTTGGGGGATTTCTTATTGCATCAAGTATTGTTTTCCATCCTCAGACTTTCAGTCTGTGAATTTTCTTTTGGATTATATTGGTTTCTTGTATACAGCATATGGTTAGATGTTTCTTTTTCTTTTTTTTTTTTTGTCATTTTCCTTTTTATTGGTACCTGGGATCAAACCCACGACTGCCTGCTTGCAACGCAGGCGCTTATGCTGCTTAGCTAAATCCCCAGCCCCAGTTAGATATTTCTTGATTCATTCTGCCAGTCTGTTTCTTTTAATTGATGAATTGAAGCCATTTACATTAATGGTTATGTGTGGTATATATTGGTTTACCTTTGTCATTTTGGTTCTTTACTTTTCTCATATGTTTTATTTGTGCTGCTTGATAGTTTTTTTCTGTTTGTATTCTTGATGTCTTAGTTATTTTTATATTTATCTAGGATATCTTTCAGTATTCTTTGCAGCATCGGGTTAGTGGTCATGAAATTCTTCAGCTGTTCTTTATCATGGAAGTATCTTTTTTCTGCATTAATTTTTAAGGACAGTTTTGTGGGGTACATCAATCTGGGTTGGAAGTCGTTTTCCTAAACAATTTCAAACAGTTCCATTCATGCTTTCTTGATTTCACTGTTTGTGTTGAGAAGTCTGCTGTGCTTCTGATGGGTTTTCCTTTATAGGTGATTTGTTTGTTTTCTTTAATAGCTTTTAATCTTCTCATGTTGAATTTCTGGGATGTTGATTATTATATGTCTGGGTGCACACTGATTTTCATCATGGACAACTGGATTTTGATATGCTTGACTTATCTGTATATCAATTTCCTTTACCCTGTTTGGAAAATTTTCAGCTATTATTTCTCTAAATAGGTTTTTGATATCATTTGTGTTGTCTCCTTTTTATTTACAACAGTTAATCTTGTATTATCCTTCATGATCTTGTAGTTGCTGAATTGTTATTTCCTGATTCCTTGTTATATTTTTTAAAAAAATCTTTCCTGTTCCCTATGTGCAATCTTGTGTTTGATGTCTGAAAGTCTATCTTCACTTTCACTGAGGTGGTTTTGCCAACTTTTGATGGAATTTTTGATTTGTATCTCTTTGAATCTGTTTCATCGATCATAATTGTTTCTTATATTGCTCATTCAAAGTTTTAGTGGTTTTGCCGTGTTCCTCCATTTTTTTAATCCTGTGTTTTTCAGGTGTGTTCAGCATTCATTTCATATTTATCATTTCTTCTCTTATCTAGTAGATTATTTCTAATCTGAGTTCTTTTATAGCTTCATGGAGTTGTTTCTTTACTGCAGTTGCTATCATTTCCGAAGTTTCAAGTGTATGGCTTGCATTTCTTTCTATGTCCATGTCTCCTAGGTTTGTTTGGGATGGGCTGGAGATTTGAGATGGCATTTTGCTCTGTCGTTTTGTCATTTTTCTGTGTTCTCCTGGGGCAGCTGAATGCAAAGTCTCAGTTGTTTCTTCTAGTGAGTATGGCTGGCTGTACTGCAAGGAATTTCTCCAGTTGAGTGGGTGATGTTATGCAGTCCTTACAGGGTCCCTATTGTCATTCAAAGACTCCCCAAATGGGGGGTGATATGCTGCATAGACCTTCAACACATCCCTCATGGCTCACCAAAGCTCCTCAGCTGCTTGAGGTCACTGGGCTGGCCCCTACCAGGTTCTGAGTGGCATACTAAGTCTGAATGGTATGTGGAGTACACTGGGCAGGCCTTCAGCTCTAGCCATGTGGTGCATGAAAAGTCCCCAGCTTCTTGAGGTCACTGGTAGGGGCCCAACCAGGTTCTGAATAAGGTCCCTAGGCTGCACAGCTACGTAGAGTTCACTGTGGAAGGCCTTCAGTTCATGTTGCTCAGCTATCTGGAGGTCACTGGGCAGGGCCCAACCAGGACCCAAGGGATGACCCAAAAATTCCGGACTGTTTGGGGAGCCTGGGGGGCCCTACCAGGTTCAGAGCAAAGTCCTGAGGCTGCACAGCCAGGTTGTGGAAGCCTTCAGGTCACACTGTTTTTGTATTTTTGATGACAACCATTTTGAACGGAGTAAGAATATCAAAGTAGTTTTTATTTATTTTTCAGTCATGGCTAAAGACTTGAGTTTTTTATAATACCTATTTTGAAAAATGTTTATTCAGTTCATTTTTCACTTTTTGATGAGCTTTGTTGTCATTGTTGTTGTTTTGTTTTAGTGGTTAACTTTTTGAGTTCCATATATATTGTAGATGTTAGTCCTCTATCAGAAACATAACCCCTATAGATTTTCTCCCATGCAGTGAGTTATCTCTTCAGTTTGTTGTCTCCTTTGCTGTGCAGAAGCCTTTTAATTCCTTGTGATCACATTTGTCAATTCTTGATCTTATTGCCTGTGCTACTGGTGTCCTATTTAATAAGTTTTTCCCTGGGTCTGTTGTTGACAATTTATATGTAGGCATTTGATTCATTTTTATTTCAGTTTTACACAAGGTGAAAGATAAAGATGTAATTTCAATCTTTTGTATTTGGATTTTAAATTTTCCCAGCACCATTTTGTTAAAGAGCCTATGTTTTCTCTAGTATAGTTTTTGGTTCCTTTGTCAAAAATCTGTCAGTTGTAGGTTCATGTGTTTGTTTCTGTTTTCTGCATCATTCCATTTTTGTACATATCTTTGTTTCTGCCCATCCCATGTTGTCTTTATTAGTATGACTTTGTAGTAGGACTTGAAATCCGATATTTCGATGCTTCCAGACTTGTTCTTTTTGCTCAGGATTACTTTTGGTATTCTGGATCTTGTCTGATTTCAGATAAATTTAGGGTTTTTTTCCCTATTTGTCTGAAATATGATTTTGGTTTTTAAGACAGGTTATAATCAGTATTTATCTACATCATGGTTGGTAATATGGCCATTTTTACGTATTAGTTCTTTTGGTCAATGAATAAGGAAGTGTTTCTAATGTCTTTAATTTATTTCTTCAGTGTTCTGAAGAAAGAATGTGTTCTGGTATTTTCATTGTAGATGTACCATGTCATTGTAGTTAGGTTAATTCCTAGTTTCTTAAATTTTCTTAAGGTGCTGTGAATTTTTTTTTCTCCCAGTTTTTTTACTCAGTATATTGAGTATTGGTGCATAGGAATGGTATTATTTTAGATGTGTTCGTTTTAACCTGTATAGTCGATTTTTAAAATTGCAGCACTATATTTTAATGCATCAAAGCATGAATTCCTTGTTTGTTTTTCACCTAGAATACCCTTCCCTACAGATGTTTGCTTCCCAAAATGATAATACTTCAAGGTCTAATTCTATTGCCTGTCACTTCTAATGCTATCTCTTATTCTCCATTTGACTTTTTTCCCAATAAGATGCTCACTTTATTTTCTTACCTAATATATAATGTTCTATCTAGCTTTATAATTATATACTTATGTAAGTGTTCTTATCCTTGAAAGAAAGGGTTTTTTATGCCTTAATGCAGCACCCAGTGTCTTAGATTTAGCTGTTTAGTATCTGTTGAGTACATGAATATATAATAAAGGATGTATTATGACATGTTTCTTACTGATTTTTTAGTTACTATAGTCATTTTATTTACTAATATTTAAGGATTTTTCTATGTAGATTTTTAGCTGTTAGATATTTCAATTTAGACCATTTTTATTGGTAGTAAATTTTTAAATCTCAGAATATTTTTGATGTTCCTACTTACTTGTTTCTATTACCACTTTAAGCTCTTGAGCAAAAGTAATCTCCCTTAAGGAATGCAGAATATGGTAGCAAATGCTGTCTTAGAGTGTTGCAGAGATGTACCAAGTAGTTGAATTTATTTTCTGTCTGTATTTTGCCGTCTGTGGCATAAATTGTTTTTCTGCATCATCAATTCTTACAACAAAGCACTTCAGTTATCTTGAAAGTAACTCTAGTAACCTGTAATTTGTACTGTTTATATAAAATGTGTAGACTGAGTTTTAAATGTCAGTACTTAGAATATTAATTACATTTTGTAGTATAGCAATTTTTCTTTTTGAGACCGAGCCTTGCTATCTAGTTCAGACTAGCCTTGAACTCACTGTGTAACCCAGGCTGGCCTCAAACTCACAATTCCCCTGCTGGAGCCTTCTGTGTGCTACAATTGCAGGACTGGGCCACCATCCCCAGCCATGCGCTATAACACGTTGAAGTTTAATTGTTTGTTAAATTTTGTGTACATCTGTCATGAATCTTTTTCTTCAAATTTGTGATGCTACTTGGGAGAAAAGTACTGTGCATGCAGTGTTTATATGATATGGTTCTTAGCACAGGACTGCAAAGATGTGAGCATCATTTGGTAGAAAAAAGTACCTTTATTGCACAGAGTATTTTTAAAATTGTAATTATTTGTTTTCTGCAAATTGAGGATATTTATAGAAATATATTGGGATGTATAGAATTAAGTAAGGACATAAGTGTTTAAATACCTCATGTTTTCTGTTTTAGCTTATTTATTTTAGGCAAGGACATGAAGCTTATGTGCGGGCTGTAAGAAAGTCTAAAATATACAGTGTTAATTTACAAAAACAGCCATGGAACAAAATGGATCTCAGGGTAGGTTTACAAAATTCATGAGCTATGCAATTGTTGCAGCTTTGAGATTATTTTACTCATAAGATTGTTATTTTCATGCATATTTGTTATGTATCCAAAATAAAATTTTGTACATTTGTTGAAGTTTCTCTATTAAGTTACATATTGTATATTCTCTGGCATTTGTATGTTCTCTTGCCTTTATTATTTGACTAATTTCCCTAAGCTTTAGATCCTAGATCTTCTAGTTTGTACCATTATATTACTATAGTGAAGCAAGAGTTCCCTAGTGTGTAAATTGGTAGAATCTGGAAACTAAGCAAAATGATAGAGTATATGGATTAAAAGCCCTCTCAAGGTTCTGTCAGCTTTGGGACATATTAAATATTTTAAATCACAAGAAGCTTACAAACTTGTACTTTTGGGATATCTGATGTAGTATCCACATAACTGCATGACACCGAATAACACATGTATGTCAACTTTACATTCAAGGATTTTCTACCAATAAGTAATTATCTCTCCATTTATTCATACCTAAATATGTACTTGCATACAGATATAGATATACATATACCTTCTTAAGTTTAATATGTTTAATTTTCTGATTCAGAGTACAAGAGACTAGAGCAATTTCACCTAAAATTTCTATGCAAATGAAGGATTATTGTGTGATGATGTTTAGCAGAAAAGATATAAGAAAGAAATACATATTTATTTAATTAAATTTTTAAAAAATGTTTGTAGAAAAAATTTATTAATTTTGTAAAGTCCTAAAATACTTTATCAAAGGAATTTAATAAAATTAGGTATCTCCTATTAGATAGGGATAATGACCATCTGTTCTTCATTAGGTAAAAATCAAGTTCTTTTTCAGAATCAAGGTACAGAATAAAGTCTACAGTTCATTATTTTTATTCCTATCTCTGTTTCTAGGAAATTGTAGGAGGTACAATATTCTGGGTCTATAAGCATCTAATTGTGACTAATCATCAGTTAATATACAAGGTTTTTGTAACATGATATTGGAGACATTCCAAAATAATACATACATATCATATATGATATGATAGGCCATATCATATGTATTTGTATGGTTACATACTGTATTTCTCCCAGGGGAATAGTTTTAACTACACAGATATACATAATATACAATTTCTTTCTTTTTTAAGAATATATGAAGAATATATGACCTAGATATACCCCAGGCCTATAGAATTAGATTTTCTAAGAATATGTTTAGGTATATTAGCACCGAAAAAGTTTTCCAGTATATTCTCCTACTTAACCTTGGTTTTGAACCCAGTCCCCCAAAATAACCTACTAATAAGTGGGGTTTTAACCTATGTCTAATTATGTGTAACATATAGTGTATTATCTAGCATTTGCTAAATACTCTGGTAATTCCTAAATTTTTCAAGTAATGTAATACATGAACATTAGGTAGTTATTTATATTGCAAGTAATAGTTTATTGATATTTTTATGAACAGGAGCAAGAGTTTGTTAAAATTGTGGGAATTAAATATGAGGTTGGACCACCTACACTATGTTGCTTGAAGCTTGCATTTCTGGATCCCATTTCAGGCAAAATGACTGGAGAGTCTTTTTCCATTAAGTAAGTAACTATTTTTGGTTCTGTGTGTGTGTTTCAATAACCATTGTATATTCTGCAAAGTAAAAGACTCAGAGGAAAAGAGAAGACACAATAGCAGAGCTACAGGGTGTAGAGTTAGTTTTTGTTTCCCCATTTAATAGCTATACGCATACTATATGGATGGGTGTTTGCTGGATTGATCCATGAACAAGTTACTCACTCTGCTCATATAAAATGAAAATGGAAATATGTGAATATTTCCTCAGGATTGTTCCAAAAAATTAAGATACATATTTAAAAGTTAATAGCAATATGCTTGAAAATAGTAGTTGCTTTTATTTCTGTTAATAATAATAAAGCCAATGACTTGCTTCTTAAAGTTATTGGCAGCTAGGCAACATAGTACATGCCTGTAAACCCAAAATAAGGGAGAATGAAATCGAAGCATCAGATGTTCAAGACAACCTAAAGCATTTAGCAAGTCCCTGTCTCAAAAAAGCAAAAATTAAAAAAAAATTATTGTTATATTTCTATTACTACATTGATATAGTAGTAGGATATAGTAGCAGGCAGGTACTCCTCAATAAGTCAGACCAGATGGGATTTAAACAAAGACTGTGAAGTTCATAAAATTTTGTGTTGTGAATTCTATATTAAACATATATCCTTGGCTATTTAGTAATTATTAAATATTGTTATATCTTATATTATTTTTCACTTACTTTATTTTCCGTACAGGTATCATGACATGCCAGATGTCATTGATTTCCTTGTGCTACATCAGTTTTATAATGAAGCCAAAGAAAGAAACTGGCAGATTGGTATGTATAGAATTGTCACTTAATAGCTGTTAAGCTACAAGTAAGCAATGTTTTAACTCTGATTTAACAAAAAACTATTATAATATTTAACCAGGCAAAGCTATTAGTCCAGGTACAAAACTTAAATTTGTTTTTCAGTTACATTTACATGATTTCATGCTCATTTTATTGAACATTCAATAGTTTTTCTTCATTATGATGTTTCATTTTCCAGGGGTTTACTTGCTTATGCTCAGCTTAAGTTAGAAAATACAAAATGCAAGATTGTCAAAGTATACAATTCAACAATTTCAAATTTCATGATTTTCTGAATAATGTAATGAAATATTGAACCATCTCATTCCGTCCTACCACTGATGTGATTCATTCCTCTGTCTAGTGTACCCGTGGTACACAGCCTGTTAATTACTTAGCTGTTTAGTCTTCACTCTTTTGAGTATTACAGTGCTTGTGTTTAGGTAACCCTTATATAGTTGCCTAAAGACTATGTCATGATGTCTAAATAATTTATCTCACTTCATCTCATCATTAGATACTATATCATCTCACATCATCGCAAGAATTAGAATTAGTATAGTAAAATAATGTACTTTAAGAGTCTACATTCATATATCTTTTATTGAACTATATTTTATAATTGTTCTGTTTTATTATTGGTTTCTTTGCTAGTTTCTCACTGAGTATAATTTATTAAATTTTATCATAGCTATGTGTGTGTGGCAAAAATCGTTAAATATAGTGGGCTATCTGTACCCATGGTTTTTATGTCTGAGTTCAACCAAACAAGGATCAGAAGTATTTCAAAAATTACATCTATACTAATCACTTAAATTCTTTTTCTCATTGTTCTTTAAATAATATAGTAAAACAACTATTTATATATCATTTATATTTTATGTATTAGAGATGATTTAAAGTATATAAAAAGTATACATAGGTTATATGTAAATACTGTGCCATTTTGGATGTAAGCATTCTTTTTTTATCCATGCCATGCTTCACTTCATGCTATGCCTTGCCATCCCATGCTGGACATAAGCATTCTTATTTTGGCCCATTCGTGCTTTATCAATACCCATGTATAACTTTGTAGGGCTCAACACAATACTATACTATTTCAGGCATTCATTGGGGATATAGGATAATATCCTTCATGGATAATGAGAGATTACTGCAATCTTTGAGCCTTCTGCAAATACCTACTTTTTTAGCTACAAATCTGAATTGAAAATTCTCAAATTTTAGTGAATCTTTTGAGTACTTTCTCCTTGGGTCTTAAACATACCATTGCAGATTCTACCTGCCTGCATTCTTTTTTCCCCCACTTCCCCTAGTCTGCCTTCCCTATTTCCCCTCCTTTCTCTGTTCATCTTCTGCTGTCTGTCTTTTATTTGTCTATCTGTGTATCTGCCTATCTGTCTCTTTCTTGTTTTGTTTCTCCACTTGGAAAGCAAGTATAATTATAATGTAACCATAGCAAAGACATAATTTTGGTAGGATAGAACCTCTCTGCCTGACATGGAGACCTTTCTCTGTCACTTACTAGCTATTTGTCCATGGCAAGGTTTTTACTTCTCCATATTTACTTGCTTTATCTTCAAAATGGTAATCACATTCTTATACCTGTAAGGTTGATGTGAACAAGATGTAAGTTATTGTATAAGTATCATTTATTTGGTACCTGGCACATACTAAATTCCATGTATATGTTACTTAGTAGTTTATTAAATTTTCTCATGTATAAGTAATATTTTTATTCATAGTGGTTTCAATTTATAATCTTTAGCTATTTAAAGGCAGAATATTAGTACAGATTGAGAGTCTCTAATTTAAACTCCAAAATCCAAAACACTCTGAGGAACATGAGCCATTTCATATTTTAAGTTTTTGGGTTAGGAATTTTCAACTAGTAGCATCTATGTAAATATTCCAAAATCTGTTATCTACAAACTTGCATACATTTCTGGTCTCAAACATTTCAGATAAAGGATATTCAACTTGTTAGAGGATATATTTTAAAGCTAAAAAAAGAAAGACTTTAATATATGTGCCATACAGTAAGGAATATGCTTAATGATCATTTCCAATAATTGATGGAAGTTAACCTGGTAGTATTTATTTAAGAAGACACGGAGAAGATTTTTATTTTTATTTTGAGAAGGTTTCTACCACTTGGTAATCAAATATTTGAAGAGGGTAAAATGTAAGGTTTACTTCCCTGGAAAAATCAGGGTGAGGCATTCAAGAATGGTAAATACAGTGTTATTTTTTTGTGTTCAAAAACTTTAGAAAGGTAACAGAGCTGACATTCTCAAAAACACCCTTTTAAGAATTTTTAACAACATTATAGGTGATAGATTCCGCAGTATAATAGATGACGCCTGGTGGTTTGGCACTGTGGAGAGTCAGCAGCCTTTTCAACCAGAATATCCTGATAGTTCTTTCCAGTGTTACAGTGTTCAGTAAGTACAGTTATGGTCTTTTATGCTTTATGGAATACTTTAGTATTATATGGCCTTTGAGTAAACCCTACCAACAAACATAATTTTTATCTGAGTTACTAGTTTATAATACTGTACCCAGAGGGACGTAATCATAGTATCTGTTGGAAAATTTTGATGGTAAACAACAATTGAACACATTTATACTCCCGTTATTACCTACATTTTCTTTTAAGTATTTCTGTTTTAGTAATACTTAAAATTGTTTTTAATTTAAAATTATTGAAATAAATTTAAACTTTAAAGCAATATTTTAAAGCTGGAATAAATCAGTTGATATTAGTATGTAGCCTTTTATTTAATGATATGGGTTCTAAGCAGAATGACTGCATTATATTTTGAGGTACTATTTTTATTATATTTATTTTAATTCTTGATATCCCAGAGTTGTACAATCCCTTATAAATGAAGTTTCTTAAAAATAAAGGAAAAAAATTTTTTTTATTTTGTGAAGACTTTTAAAGTATCCATACTACAGATTGCAAGCAATAATAAAATTTTAGAAATGCTTTAATACTTAAGCTGTTAGGCTAAAAGTAGATTAATAATTGATAAATTAAAGTCTTTTCACCTGAAAGATACTTTCCAAAATATCTTGTTGTTCTCTCCCTAGCTCAATATTGAATATATGCTTGTTTGGAACAAAAAAGTAAACTAGTAAGATTAGACTTACTGCTCTATAAGTTTCATATTGGTGGTCCATGTTTTCTCTGTAAGTAGTTTTATATTATTTTTACATAAGCAAAGTTGTACTTTATTGACTATTATGTTACCACTTTCCAAATTTCACTCTGAAGCAGTCATGGAAATTATGCTAGTATCTGAAACAAATGCTTGTGAATTTGATTTTCATTTTTTTTTATAGCTGGGACAATAATGAGCGAGAAAAGATGAGCCCCTGGGATATGGAGCCAATTCCAGAAGGAAGTAAATATGCTTTAAAAATGAATTATACTTTTATTACAAGTAAAATAGTATAATATTGCAAACTTATTTCTAAATTTTCATCTTAAACCTAGCTGCCTTTCCAGATGAAGTTGGTGCAGGCGTTCCTGTGTCTCAGGAGGAACTCACTGCTTTGCTATACAAACCCCAGGAAGGAGAATGGGGGGCTCATTCCAGAGATGAGGAATGTGAACGAGTTATTCAGGGCATCAACTACCTTCTTTCCTTGGGTATGATCAATGTGAAACAATACTTGGAGGATAGACAGAAGCCAGCAAAGCAAGAATAATTTAGAGATTCTATAAGAGGAAATGCAATTTGTCACTATATACTTCATTTTCAGTTTACGAGGCATAGTGATTCCAGTTTTAATATTAACATTGTATGGTTGGGCAAAATAATGACCAATGAACTGTTAGAACTTGGGATTGTGGTGGGGGGCTACTAGTAAAGGAAGGCCTGCAAGTATCTTTTTAGTTTTTCTATCATTCTGACTTCCTAGCTATTTGCTGAGCCTGACTATGACTTTGGATGGGTTCCCTAGTAAATACAGTGGCTGAATAATATATTTCTTTCCAGTCAATAGTTACATTTTCTAAAATATATTACTTGAGAAATCTAGAAGTTGTTCAGGGAATACATAGAATTCTGAAGATAAACACTGTTCCTTTATTTTTTTCACTTTACCTGACTTGAACAGTGTATCATCAATGATATATTGACATTATGTCCTAAAAAAACAGAATAGCCTTATATTTGTACAAGTGTATCAGTGTTTTAGAAATATAGGTCAATCTTCCTTTATTTCCATATGAATATTATTACAATGTGTTAGTATCTTCTTTAAGTACTTTTTGGATCTTGGTAATTTTATAGATTTTGCCAGCCCTTTTGCTGTTCCGGTGGATCTCAGCGCCTACCCCTTGTACTGTACTGTAGTTGCTTATCCAACTGACCTCAATACCATCAGACGGAGACTTGAAAATCGTTTTTACAGGTTTGTTTAGTTCTATTATTTATTATAAAATTTATAGTTGCATGGCTTTTGCTTACTTTTTTGAGATTTGTATTTTCATAGGATAAAATCATCTACAGACTTATTTCAAGATACTAAAGTTTTTTATTCAGTAAATTCTCTTTTAGGATTAAAAGGGGATAGAAGACAGTAAAATATGGGCAGCACAAATTGTGTATAATATGAAAAGTACAATTAGCTTTCCTTTATTAAAGATAAATTAAGTGCTTTATGAATTCTACAGAGACATGGAGCATATTTTAATCATCTTTGAGAAGTTAGGTAGCAGTTAATTAGATTTAATTGCCAGACCTAATACACACACACACACACACACACACACACACACAATTTAGGTTTTTCATGGTTTTGAGCGAGAGAGGGATGCAGGAGGGCTTTGGGGGCCAGTTCTTGGTGTGTCTCTCATCCAACTCTATTTCACTAGTATTGGGTCCTGACCTAGAACCCTAGTCTCCCAAACTAGTGTACAGCAAAGGTTTAAATAAAATGAGACAAGTGGTATGATTTTAGGGCTCCAGGAGGTTCAAAACCCTTTAGCTGAACTCGAGACTCTGAGGGTTAAGACAAAGATTTCTGTGGACCGCCTACTTTTATTAGGTCCAACAACAAAGGGCAGGAAACTGAGGAAAGTGCAGGCAATGAGCAGTACCTTGGGAGTCACTTCAAGGACTTCTCCAAGTAATGAATCAAGTCAATTCAATAGAACTGTAGAAGTGAGAGACAGTAGGAATAATTCTTGTAGCTGTAGTCTCTGTCTACTGAATTAATGTTTGAGCCAAGCGTCCACAGTTGTGGCCTTATCTTGTTCTTTGAGGTATCTCTGGCCTGATAGGCCACTACAGGCCTCATCGAGGACCAGCGATTCATAGAGGTTCACGCACTGTGAAGCAGCTCCCATTGCCAGGCATGGGGCCTAGGCCTAGGAGAGACTCACAGATAAACATAGAAAGCCAACTAGTTAATTTTGAATCCTGCTCAGAGCTGCTTCATAATGGTTTCCAACACACTAGAATCATAGTATTCCATAAATTATTTAATCTGCTTCTCATAATTGAGAGTTGAATATATTGTATAACATATGCTATTCAATGTAGTAATGTATATTGTAACTAGGTAAAATATTGTCATGTTCTACAGTATGTTTTTTTAACATTTCATGATTTTCCCTGAAAACTAACATTGTTTTAACTTTATCAAATTTTTTTTATTACTTTTGTCAAATTACTGTACAATACCCTTAGTCAGTCCCATTCCAAGTTTTATTAAGCAATCTAATGGTTCAAAGTTCCTTCCCATGTTTAAAATCCTAAAACTAAACCATGCTGTTTTTGCATGCAACAGTCATACATATATATTAAATCATTCATATAGTGTAACATCTTTGAAGTATTACAGTTAAATGCCTAGTTGTTACATATTGTATGTTTCTACAATATAAGTTAAATGTATCAAGTAACTAACAGGATATTTTTCCATAGGAGAATATCAGCATTAATGTGGGAGGTACGCTACATTGAACATAATGCTAGGACTTTCAATGAGCCAGACAGTCCTATAGTTAAAGCAGCCAAAATTGTAACTGATGTCCTACTTCGATTTATTGGGTAAGAAGCAGTTTTATGTTTCAGTGAGACTAATTTTAGATTTTTCAAAAGTTTCTTAAATTTGTTTTGACTTGTTTTTTTTTTTCATAGGGATCAAAGTTGTACCGATATATTGGATACTTACAATAAAGTTAAAGCAGAAGAATTAAACAGTACCGATGCAGAAGAGGTAAGAACCACAGCGCACTGAATAAGAATGAATTTATTGTTTATTTGAAATGTAGTAGGTACTACATGTAAATGTTCCAATTGATTATGAGCAATAAAAGATTGTAGGATGCTAGCTAAACATTTGTATCTTCTTATATTAAATTATTTGATCTCTGCTCAGATGGAATATACCAAAAACATAATAGTACTAACAGGTTTTAATCAGAGAAAGGTGGCCAGTCATCCTAAGTGATTTAGTGGATTGCAGTGATAAGAAATCAATACTTCATTTTCCAGCACAAAAAATAAGACAAAGTACTTAGCACTCAGTGTTATAAGAGACAGTAATTTCAGAAGGATTTTACTTTCTATACATTGTAAAATATGTAAAAACTATATTTTAAATTTATTTGAAAGTCTAAATATTTTAGTTTCATGGAGTTTCTACTTGATTTATTTATGGAAATTTAAAAATATAAATCAGTATTTTCTGAATGAAAATGAAATTAGTACTCTCAATAAACCTTTAGATACCTGAATTCTCTACACAATCCATGTCTCTAGTTCACATAAATCCTTATTTGACAAGATGTTATGAAAGAAACCAAAATCAAGATGAGGTGGAATAGTAATGAAAAATGGAAATAAACATCTTTACTGGAAAGCAGTTCATCCCAGGAATAATGACTCAAACATGCTAAATCGTGCTACACTTGTATGAGATATTTTCAAGTTTATTTTGCCTGTATTGTTAATCTCTGTAATGGTAAATCTTCAACATTGTCTTCTATTCTTTTATGAAACTGTATCTGACCATAAAGTATTGCTTTATTGAAGTTGAATATTATTTATATAGTTTTAATAAGGAAAACATATACCATTTAGATATTAACCCTTGAAACCCAAGAAAAACTTACATTTGTTATATGTTCTCTGACATTTGCTATGAATGTATTTAACTCACCATTTAATATAAGACAGTTTCTTCTTACACTAGCATTAGTTGTATTAGATAGAGAATTAGAGTAAAATGCAATTCAGGAGATTGATGAGTATTTCATGGTTTAGTATACTAAGCAAGTAAATCAGTACTGTAAGTTTCTTAAAAATACTAGCAGTTAGATATAAACTTCAGCAGATACCAATCACTATATTGTTTCCCTCATTTTATATTCTAATTTGAAACAAAACTTAACGTAGCTTTTTGTTTTGTTTTGAGGATTTTTTTGGTACCAGGAATCAAACTCACAACCTCACACTTGCCAAGCAGGCACTGTGCCACTGAGCTGTATCCCCAGCCTTGTAGTTCTTTTTTACTTAGTATATTTTCTAACTTGTATATAGCATATTGGCAGAGGTCTCTCTCCAGCCTTTGGTCTGCTGTTAGTTCCAATGAAAGAAAGTTACTCATGATTATGTTTGCTATTGACTTGTAAAAGTTTGTATAATTCATAAGACTTTGCATATAGCTTAACATCTTTTTACACTCTTCCCTTTTTGTTTAGGATACAGAAATTATTGATTTAGATTCAGATGGTCCTGGCACTTCATCTGGAAGAAGGGTAAGTAGATAAGTGGACTCCTGAAAAGAAGCTTTTAATCTTCCTGCATCAGGAATTCTAAAGACCAGACTGCATATGGAAATGTAGTTGTACTCTATGCTATGGCTGAGTACAATTGAAGTTGTATTGATAGCTAAGATTTATTACAGCAAAGCAGTAATAAATCATAGTTGGCCATAGTGGGAAAGACTTAAGCATAATCTGGAGGAATCTATGTTGAGGTATTTTGATGCCTCGTCAATCTTGTAAGGGGCCGTGCAGTATACTCTCATGCCAGCAATGAAAATGAAGCAACATGTGTGTAAATACCTAAGAATTTTGTTAGAGACTGATTATCTAGGCAGTCTCTGACTACCATATACCAAGCTAGCTTGACATGGTAAATCACTTGACAGCTTATTGTTAAACCTTTCCTGCACATTTTTTCTGTATCATAATTAAACATAGAGTTGTTCTATAGAAGGAAAAATATCTTTTCAGATACTTACTGAAATAAAATAGATCATAACAAAACACACTAGAATTTGTCATGAATGGAATATTTATTAAAAATTTGCTTGAGTTATTTTGAGAAAATTATGGCACTCTTGTCAAGTGAACTTATGACTAGTAGCTGTTAAGGCAATGTATCTGTTAACCTTATAGATGAAAGAGCATTTGAATCTTTGTACTTTATGTGTTTGGATATTCTTAAAATGAAAATCCAGAATACTAGAATTCTGTAGATACTAGAAACTTTTAGATTACAGTCTTGCTATCTTAACAGAAATATTTTAACATTAGGTATGCATGAGAACATCCATAAAGAGTTAAAGAAAGACTTGGTACATATAAATCTATTAAAATCTGTAGGTCAAATGTCGAGGCAGAAGGCAATCTTTAAGGTGTAATCCTGATGCTTGGAAAAACCAGTGCAAAGAACTATTGAGCCTCATTTATGAACGGGAAGATTCAGAGCCATTTCGACAACCAGCAGATCCCTTTTCTTATCCAGTAAGCATATACTTGTTTAAATAATCACCAACATAATAACTTCCCATAAGCATCCATTCTAACTTGTACTTGAAGTTAATTTTCACTTTCCTGCCTTCCTTGTGTATCTTTGAATTGTGCAAGTAGTAGTATGATTAGTTATGACTTTTTAAAAAAATGTATGTCATGTACTTAGGTAAATTATAGAGTTGTAAACTAAATTGAATCAAAATTTCTTTGCTGCTCCTTTCTGCTTTGTTTGTCTTTTTGAGACAGGGTCTCACTATAGTTCAGGCTGACCTTGGGCTCCCTTTGTAGCCCAGACCGGTCTTGAACTTGCAATGATCCGCCTGCCTCAGCGTCCTAAGTGCTGGGATTACAGGAGTGCACCACCATGCCTGGCTCCTTTCTGTTTTTATTTGAGATATTTAATATATTTTAGTAATTTCTGTGTTATCACTTTCACTTAGACTAACCAACATGCTAATATCACTTTTGAAAAAATAGATGCACGCGAACTTAGAGTACAAAATCCCTTTTTGAGGAAATAGAATTACTGTGTATGTTGAATAACTTTTTAGATATCAAATCTGTTCTTTTTCAGAAAAGGGAACAGCAATGTTTCAGAAATATATGAGACCATCTTTTCAACTTAGTACACATCAGTATGTTTCTCTGTATTCACAGATTTTAGTTTGGAAATAATATTTGAATAAACAATATATTTAATAGTTCATTTTTCTTGTAGGAAATTTGGGTAGAATAAATTAGTGTAGTGTTTTTCATAGTAGAGATGAATTGTTAATACTAATCTCATTCATCTTAAAGTATAACTAACTAAATAATAATTTCTATTTGTGAACCATTGACCCTTAAACTAGAATTGTATTGCAAGTCATGATATTTTGTGGTAGCAATCTGGAAATATAATATATGCTCTTTACCCAAATAGACCCATCAAGAACAAGAGGGAGAATCCACACAGTTCATTGTTCCAGAAAGACAACATGATTCATCTCTTTCTGAGGTAGCCCACAATCATCTTTTAGAAAACATACTGTGTTTTTTTATTTTACTTTTAAAATATCCATGTTTGTATATAAACCTTTCATAATTGTTAAAAATGCCTTCTAAATCTGTTTTTAATCATTTTTCTATTTTTTGGTTCTTATTTTTTTAAATCCACATGAGATTTTTCTTTGTAACATCCATTTAAATGTTTATATAAATCTGAAGCTACTACCACTGCAAAGCCAAAATCAGTTATGTGATATGTTTATGTCTGTATTGTAACTATTTATTCCAATGGGGACTTCATTCAGCATGTAAACTGAATCTTTAGAGCCTTGATAATGTTATACAAATTCTAATATTTTTCCTCCATGAAAATATTAGTGCTTCATAAACCATAATGTGTTGAAATACACTTGAATTTTTTATGATTTAATAGAATATTTAGGACAACTTTTCTGTTTCATACTTTGGAAATATTTTTCTTCTTTTTATGATTCCTTTTTGTCTGGTCTTTTCTGGCTCTTTGGTTTTCTCTTTTGAGGAAAGTATCACTTCTTAATGATTCTAAGTAGGATGAGGAATTTAATATTGACTAGGGTTTTCATTCCAAAACTTATAGTATGTATAAATATAAATTTCAGAAAGTATTTAAAGTATTAACACTAGGAAAATCTTAACTAGAAAAACTTAAGGTAAAATGTAATCTTGCCTGTCCCCTAATAAAATTGAAATGAAATTCTCAACCCATGAGATAGGCTTTAAATTTTAAAAAAAGCTGTCACAGTGATTAAAATTCAAAGACAAGATAGAGACACAAACATGATCAATTTGACTTTGAATCTCACCTAATGACACTTTAGAGTGTCCCTGTACCTAGAATGCTTGGAAATAATGTAGCTATTTTGTAGAGTATAGTTACTTAATCTTACCTCATAATCTCATCTTCTTCTATCATTAATGCAGTTTCCTAGGGTGTTGGAATTTACATCAATCTTCAAATAAGAAATGGAACCCAATATTATAAACTGTAGAAATGAAGCCAGTAAGCCATGTGTGGTGGCATACACCTGTAACCCCAGCACTCAAAAAGCTGAGGCAAGAGAATTCATAAGTTAGAGGAGCCAACCCAAGCTACATAATATCTGTCACAAAAAAAAAAATCCAAAACAAGCCAAAATAAAACAAAACAATTAAAAAAATGAAACCAATGTCTATGGATTTTCTATTCTGTCTCTTCAAAGTTAGCTATGGTTATTGAGTACAGTGTAAAGGCTAAGCCTTTCCCACAGGTCCCACTTTTTTCAGAAACCACCAAAAGATGATTTGGGGTGAAAGAAGGTAGCTGTCGGTTTGGAAATTAATGTTTGTTTCATATCAGTATTTAATGCAAATCTTAGTTCCATTGTATTATTTAGTGTTCTTTGCAGTTTAAGTATTTATATATAATGCATTATTCTTTCTAGGACCATCAAGGTGTTACAGAAACTCGTATGGACTTCAGCACTGTGAAAGAAATTTTGGAAGCAGGGAACTATGTTAGTCCTCTGGAATTTTGTAAAGATGTTCGCCAAATATTCAGCAACTCCAAAGCTTATACCTCTAATAAGAAATCAAGGGTATGCAAAACAATGTTAAGTGGTTTAATTATCTAAGTGTGTAACTATATATCAGGCAGTTTCATTTAAACAGTTTTAAAATTGCTAAGAAATACATGCTACAAATCTGACATCGTTACAGTGTTTGGTCCTCCTCAGTCAGGATTATTAGAATGACATATATTTTCTGTAGAAAATTTGAGAAATAGAAGTATCAAGAAAAAACAAAAATTACTTGTAAAGCCTCATCATTTTATTTATATGTTTCATATTATATGTTCATATTATATGTTTATACTTCCAGAGTTTTTGATATTCCCTATATACCTCCATATGTTCATTCATATATTCCTTACAGTAGGAGATGGCATATTGTAAGAGCTTTGTTTTCTGTATTTTTTATTTTAAAGAAAAAAAGTAAATTTCAAGCCATGATAATTAGAGGGTAACAATTGTTAAAACATTGTATATCATTATCTTTAGTTACTCAGAGTGCAAGATATCTGCATTTAATTGTCCACACAATATTAACACAAACCATTCTTTTCAATGAAGTAAAAGAAATTAGTAGTATAACTGTCTTAACACACATATTATTTCTTAGATACACACATATTATTTCTTTCAGCTTTTCACACTACGGAAACAATGTGATATGTAAGGCCATTTTTATTATTTATCGACTTTGAAAAAGTACCTTTGATCACATCCTATAGGTATTTTATGTTATTTAATCAATGACTTAATGGTAGAGATTTAAGTTTTTTACAATTTTTCACTTTATGTGAATAGTGGCTATGTCAAGGCACATTCTACTTATATTTTATATTATGTAATTGATAAAACAAGACTATAATTTTGACTTTTTCAGCTCTATAGCATGACACTGCGATTATCTGCCTTATTTGAAAATCACATTAAAAATATCATTTCTGAGTATAAATCAGCAATCCAGAATCAGAAGAGGAGAAGGCCACGGTACAGAAAACGTCTAAGAAGCAGCAGCAGTTCATTATCTAGTAGCAGAGCTCCTAGGTATATTACACTGATTCAGTGTTTTTGTTTTGAAATCTTTTTCTGTGTATTATTTTATTTCTCAAAGTTTATAAATAGTTTACGAAAATTTCAAGAAATATTTTCCTCCAATAAGTATTATCTCTGTTTAAAAAGAGTTAGTAACCACTATTCATATGAATTTTACTACCATGAAACCTGTTTTTAATTTATTGAACGGGGTGTTACTTTGTCAAAATACCAGTTTACAGCATCTCACTTGAATTTGAAACATTACACAAGAATGTCTATTTTGGTCAGTTTAAGTATTTTGCATCATACTGTCTGTCATAATGTATTACAGAAAAATAAGCTCATCATGATGTATTTTTACTTGTAGTCCAAAAGGAAAACAGAAACAAATGAAGTTGCAACCTAAAAGTGACCAGAATACCTCAGTGTCTTATGCTAGAACTAGTTCTCCTTTCTCATCTCCTGGTAAATATGTCTTTTTGTTGTTGTTATTGCAGTTTATATTGATAGTAAGGCTGTAGAAGAGGTAGTATGATTTATAGTGCACAGAAAATAGATCTAGATTAAAAAAAACTTGTATTTTATTCCTAGTTATGATTGCTACTTGCATGGACCTGGTTAAGATATTAGGCCAAGTGATTTGATTTCTTTGTTAGACTAGATAAATCTTAGTCTCCTGGTTTGAAAATTCCTTAAGTGAGTTTTTAATGTCTATAATACCTCAGAACCTTTATCTATAATATATTTCCCAACATAAGACTTAGAAAATGTTGTTTAATGTAAAATAAATGAGATGTAGTTCCAAAAGCAGCCTGTTTAACTTTTCTAGCAATGTAAAATTATTTTAACATTATAACCTTCTAAAATTCAAGTTTCAGATGCTGCTGAAGGAATTTCACAGTATCTCCTTGATGATGAAGCAGATGGACCATTTTCTTCATCGAGCTTCAGTGGATATAGCCAAAGTGGAAATGTTCATGACCCAGGGAAAGCCAAATCATTTCGGAATAGAGTTTTACCAGTTAAACAAGGTAGGAAGTAGATGTAAAACAGGCCCTTTATTTTCTTATGATGGAAGAGGAGTAAAAGCTGATAAAATATTAGATTAGTAAAAACTCATATGTCCTTATAGTTTATGAGAATTTTAATATTGTCAAATCTGAATTAGATAGTTAAGAATAGGCTATTAGCAGATTTCCAAGTACCAATAAACTTGATTTCATTTTTAAACAGATTTTTTTCACCTCATATACCATACATGATTATGGCTTATCTATCTTGAGGCATTAAACATTTTTGATAGGCTGTTTACTTTACTTTTGAACTTAATGACCATATTGTCAAAGTCATAGCTTAACTTAAAAATTATACATTTTCATTTAGATCACTCCCTTGATGGACCTATTACAAATGGTGATGGCAGAGAGCCCGGGTCTGGAATCAAGAGAAAACTACTCAGTGCCTCAGACGAAGATGAAAGCATGGGAGGAAAAGAGAAAGAGAAAAAAGAAACGAAAGAGAAATCACATTTATCTTCTTCAGAGAGTGGAGAGTTAGGATCCAGTTTAAGTTCAGAAAGTGCTTGTGGTTCTGATTCTGACTCTGAATCAACTTCCAGGACAGATCAAGATTATGTAGATGGAGATCATGACTATAGCAAATTCATACAAACAAGACCGAAAAGAAAACTCAGAAAACAACACGCCAGTGGAAAAAGAAACTGGAAGATGAGAGGCACTGGAGGAAGAGGCAGATGGGGAAGATGGGGTAGATGGAGTCGAGGAGGCAGAGGAAGAGGAGGCAGGGGACGCGGGGGTCGAGGAAGAGGTGGAGGTGGCGCTAGAGGAAGAGGAAGAGGGAGAGGAGGAAGAGGTGCCTCTAGAGGAACCACCCGAGCCAAACGAGCACGTATTACAGATGACGAATTTGATACCATGTTTTCAGGACGTTTTAGTAGACTGCCTCGAATTAAAACAAGAAATCAAGGCAGGAGAACTGTTTTATATAATGATGATTCTGATAATGACAATTTTGTGTCCACTGAGGATCCTCTGAATCTTGGTACATCCAGATCAGGCAGAGTGCGTAAAATGACAGAAAAAGCCAGGGTTAGCCATCTCATGGGATGGAATTATTAAAAATTAATGAATTTAGAATAATTTAAAAATTCAATGGCCTTCTACTGCAGGGAATTTACCAGGAAATCTACAAAGCAAGTTGTGTGGGGACTTCTGCTTCCTTTCACGTTGGTGCTTTTCCATTATGCCAGTATAATATTTGTTTCAAGACTTTGATCTCCACACTTCATTTGTTTCAAACAAGCCTTACTCATTAGGCCTTAAATTGAAAGAAATTCTGTCCATACACTTGCGTGCATGTATGCGTGCGCGCGCACGCGCACACACACACACACACAACACAAGACGCACTACAGATTTACTATGTTAAAGGAGCATTCTACTTCTTAAGAGTAGCATGACATTTTTATCTCAATGAAATATCCTTCTTTTGCTTTTGTATCACAGAAGTATAGCACCTTCTTACAGAGTTTTATATAGTTTGTTTTTGCCATTTTGATTCCTATACCCAGTAATAATAACTTTTGCACAATACACCAATCCTAAAGGCAGCTATTAAATGTTTACAGTTTCTATATTATGAGAACGATCTGGATTATTTTACTCTTCCCAGGCCAAACTTTCGTGAATTGTACTGAACTGAAGTATATATTTATACTACAGTTTTTTTTGGGGGGTGGGGGGATCTTGATATGCTTTTCATTGATTTGCTTAATTCACGTTAAAGGTGAGAAAGGGTTGGTGCCTTGTAAATATGTAGCAAATCTTTGTAGTGTGTCCTGAAGTGTGCATTAACTTTATTAAAAGGGAATACTTGAGATACCAATCTAGACAAGGTGCCAAACACAAAACTTTCTTGCATACATTTTCTTTCCTATTATGTTTTACTGCATTAATAGAACTTGTGAGCTTAAAGAATGACTTAAACATTTGAAAAATCCTCATCCACCAAGAGTAACTTCTTTGAATAGTAGCTCAGCTACCTCTATTAACTACAACTACTGGATACTTTAAGGAAAATAGATGCTGTTACTCATTACTAAAGAGAAATAGAATAAACTTGGGTGGGAAAGAATATTCATAAGTTATAAGCTGAGAAGTTGTTAATAATTATGCTGGCTTTCAAATTAATAGTTTAATAAACTTTCCTAAGTATTACATGCTCTACCTTAGACTTTCATAAAAGATAGTTGTATAAGTAGACTTCGTCTGTTGCTTATGTATCTCTGCTACCACTTACTGTTTAATAGTGAGTTACATGCAGCTTTTCTTTGAAACAAAGTGTAACAGACCATATACTTTGAGTTAAAATGTTTCAGATAGCTAATATTTTGGATCAACCTTAATAGATTTTGCTCTTATCATTCCAAAGGGTTCTTGTAGTCTTTCAGAAAAGAACCTTATTGCACTGCACACTGATACTTTGAATCATTCTTTTATAAGTGATAAATATCTGTTAACCCTTATGGTCTTGTTTACAGCAGTAGAATGCACATGGTAAGTGAGCTTGAGTCCAAGATCAATTTTACTCCTCAAAGTTGAGATTACAGATTTGCTAATTTGTTCAATATTTAAATTTTTAAGGTAAGAGGGTTAATATTGGTCTTTTTTTGTAATAGCAAATTTACTGCACTTAGATAAAAATTGTGATAATACAGATTTCTTTACTAGGTTATCCCAGGATATTTGTTAAGTTAATGTGTTTGTCTTATACTTTCAATCATTTTACTCATCTGAAAATCCGTAAGTGCAGAAGAAGGAGTACACACATAACTTTGCTTTTTTGATAGGGTTTGGGGTTGGGATTATTCTTGGACAGACATCTTTAAGCAGTTTTTACTTGCAGTAGAAATGATGTTCAGGCTTTATGAAAATATTGTTGAGAATTGTTAATGGCACTAACTTCTGTTACTAGATAGTAGATCAAGATATATTTTCTGTTATATGTTTTTCATTAAACCAAAACTACTTCTGGTTATAACTCAACTGCCATTTTAAACCATAGTATAGATTCGAATTATTCCTATTTGAAACTCTATTAGATTTTTGCTAAAAAATACCATTTTACTTATTCATCTCTTGCGCATTTAGACTAAATGTTGCCTGTTTTCCTCTTAAATCAGTACACTTTGGCATACCCTAATCAAAGTGACATAGTTGCTTAAATTTTGGATATATCTATATGTGTATCATTTTAGTGTGACATATTTTGATGACATTCTTCTATGAAGAGCTCACTTCTTAAAATGGAAGAATTGCCCTTTGTGTGGTTTTTAGCTACCTGGAACTTTATTTATAATTTATTTTGAAAAACTAAAATCACATTTATTCCCCAAATGTCAATATTTTCTAGATTTAGGCAGTTAGAATAATAAGGCTGAAGACATTTTTAAGTATATTTTATAAGTAGTGAAATACTGTGAAAATAATAGTGAACAGCATTTTGCTGTAATGTTAATTTCAGTTAGAATTTTAAGCAGTCACCAGGGTATAATAGTTAAGGATAGTTTTCATTATACAACAGATACCTTTCTGTTAGCATGCAAGTTATTTTGATAAGTGTGAATATAAAAGATTGAAAAATAGTATTTTTACTTTTTTTATCTGCACCTCCCGTTTTTACTTTGCTTTTTTATAACACCATTCCCTGTGAATTTTTCATAATTCATACACATTGAATATTGTATCATTTTAATTTTCCAGAGACTTTTTAAAACCTACATAAGATTTGAGTTCAGCCATAGCAAAGCAAGTAGGAAATGAATTAAGAATTCTGCTAAGAAAAACCACTATAATATTTAGACCCATGGGAGTATACACATGTAAAAGTCTGATCATATACCAAATATGGATAGTGACTAAACTGTATTTCTTATGAATGCTAATAATGTTTGAATTACCATCTTTAAGATCTTAGCATGTGTATATATTTATAAAACCTGAAACATAAGTTCCTTCTATGGCTTGCTATGTGTCCAGCAATAGGATCCCCTCCGAAACATTCACTAACCTACTAACCTAATGACTAAATTTGCTTTTGTGTGTGTGTGTGCATTTGTATGTATGTAACATTTTTTAAAACTTGGCATACCTTATTTCAGACATTAAAAAAGAGAGAATATTTTATATGGAGGATACTGTCTACCAATTCTTTGTCTCTGTACAGCTCTTAGCCTATGCATTTACTAGTCGGTGATCCATGGAGTTAATGCCTTTTAGATAACACACCCATGTTTTCCCAAGTTTCTGAATCCTTTTATTATTGTAATTTAATTGATCTTTATATTTGTTTAGTTTTGTTTCCCTCCCCATAGATCACGCTATTCTAGAATGCTTCCATACTGCACTTTGTTGCACCCAGAAGTGAAACTGAATAAAATTCATAAATCTCATTCTGCACAACTGTGTGCTCAGATACCTAGCTCAGCCTTCTAATATTTCAAAGTAAATTTGAGCCATTTATATTTTAGTGTTTGTTTTAATCCTATAGATTGTTATAAGACAATAACATTGAGTGAAAGAAATAAATGTGAATGCCACTTATAATTTTTTGATAAAAAGTTTTGGAGCATTTTTTTCCAAAGTTTTTATGTTTGTAATAATGAGAAATTACACATCTTGTTACGTATATCTGTGGAATCATTTTAGGCACATTTGCCAACTGGTACTTATCTTCAAAGTTGGAAGACATGATTTGTAGAATGCATAATTTTTAGTGTATTTTGATGTCCAGCCTTTTGAACAATTACAGTAGCATTTTAATTTGGGAAATGAATACTGGGGGAAGGGGTGGCACTGCTGACATTTAAAAGTCTATTCTTTTAAATGCTAATCCCACCCCAAACATTTTTGTGTTACGTGACGTTTATGAATGTTTTATTGAAAATTGGATGTCCTAAGATAATTTTTAAGATTTAGTTTTAAAGAATTATGGGAAATATTTTGGTGCTTTTTTTGCTTTTCAACTCTTAGTAGTCCCTGTATTAAGTTTTAAATACCACTTTTATCAAGTTTTGATTAAAAGCCAATATAAAGTTAAAATTTTTATGGTGCCGTATTTTGTGAAATATGGATAGTACTCAAGTTTATTCATCTTTCCTCTCTTGCTTGCTTTTACCCTCATTTGTCTTTCTGCAATGAACAAGACAGGAAATTTCTGATTAATTATGGGGAGAATACAGTAGAAAGGCCCTACAGTTTAGAGTTAAGATGTGTTTATATATATGTCCATTTGTTATTATTATACTTATCTTAATTCTAGAATATGAGACTTTGGCCTAAGAAAGCATGAAAACTATTTTTAAAAACAACTGTTGATACATATTGAAATTGCCATTTGTAACTGACTTTTAAAATCACATATAAAAATATTTAGAAACCCAGTTGGAAAATGTGTTTTTACATGTCACAAAGTACACTGTAGGCAGTACTACAAATGTTAATTCTTTAAACAATACTGTGGTGATGGCAATCAGTAATTTATTTCTTTTCCTGTAACTTATCATTGTTGTCCTTTGTAATTCCTTACACAGTATTAACAAGACTGTTTCATATGTTTTTTTAATATCCATAAATTTTAAGGTAGAAAAACATTCAGTTAATAGTTGATGTAATGTTGTAAATGGACAAAATGTCCATTAATTCAGCTATTTTAAAAAGGTAAACTTAACTGGCTTATTTTATAAAAGATGTTTTGTTTGGCAGATATCAGTTATTATAAGTAATTACTTTCAGAGACAAAAAACTGGACTAATTTGTTGCCATTCTTTATGGAATGTTTACAATAAAATTCCAAGTTGTTTGGAATCAATTGCACTCTTGCTGCTTTATGCCTTAACTCATATGCCAGAGGTAAATTAACAAGAAGAAAGAAAGAGTGGAGTTAGGTTTCTATTATGCAACTTTAAACATTATAACATATAAATCTTGGGTCATTCCTTTCTTGCTTCTTTGTCATAGAATTTTTATTACTATTTAATCTGAGAATAAGGGTGCTTAATATAATAGAATATTTTGGTATAGTCATTAAAATATTTGTTGGGTCACTTTTAGGTAGTAAATATTAATACTTTCAATGTTGGCTGCTTGGTGCCTTACATAACAACCTGCAAAGCACTAATAAACTGTTTTGTAAAGCTTTTTCAAAATGAATAGATTTTAATATATTGTTCATTTATTAGTTTTAACACCTAAGCTATGAATCCCTATCATATTTATGTCCAACTTGCCTACAAAGCTTACCTGTACTATAAGTTGTACTTTAGTTCCTTATAACTGAAGGAGGGAGAGAAGTAAAGTAGATGAATTTTGAGCCAGGATCTGATTCATCCTAGGTCTGAGCCTATACAGTTCCCAGATTATTCTCCCAGTGATAGGAATTCCACCAGGTTTAAGATAAGTAAACTGACTGCAGACCAGAATGCATCTTTTACACATGTACTGTATGTCTCTTTTGTAGATTTAGAATAAAAATCAACACATTTAGAAAAACACCACTTCATATTCTGGAATCAGATTCAGTGGTTGTGAAAATAGCCAGACTTTTCACAATATTCAACCTCTGATAAAATGTTTGGTAATTTTGTTTAGTTGCTGTATTTACCTCACTCCCTGGACTTTTGAGTAGAAAACTTGAAGATTTTTTTTTATAACAAAAGTATGGCAATATTCACAAGATCTTTTTTTCGTAGTTGAGGTCAAGAAAAAAGTGCTGTCTACCTTTTCTCTGAATTACATGCCACTGACTATTTAAAACTAATTTCCAAAAATAAACAAAATAAATTGAAACCACTATATTAAGGCTTCTTTCCCTTTGTTGCCAGCTGACAGTTGCCTTGTTAAGTTTCTGTCACCTGGAGACTATAAATTTCTAGTAAATAATTTTAAAGTTATTAGTAAAATAATATTAATTTTGATATTGACTTTAAAACTTCTGGTGCTAGTATCTTTTTCATTAACAGGTAAATTTTCAATTGCTGAATTCTCTACTCGGCATCTTTATGGTACTCTTCAATTTTATAAGGTTTCTAGTAAATTTATTTGAAAAAATATTTCACATTGCTTCATTTATATTCCTAATGTTAATTGATAGGACTTAATATTCTTAGGGATTTTTCTGTGATTAATTTTTGTCGTGTAATTCTAACTAGAATTTCTGTAGTCAAATGTTAGTTTATTTTAGCAACTTTGTATAATCTGTCTAGTAATTTAAGCTAGTAAAACTGTCTTAAGATGTCTTTTTTCCTCTTTTGGTATTTTACAAAAGCTTAAACTATCATATTAAAATGAGATTTGCTTACCAATTGTATAATATATCATTTGAAGAGGAATGTTTTGTTATCTTTAGATGCTCTTCATCTAAAATATTAATGATAAGTGCTGATAGTTCTGAATTGCTTCAGTGTGATAAGTCTTAATTTATAATTATAGTTAATGTTGTATATAAAAACATAAAGTTTAATTTTGTCTAGTCTGACCCTGTGGAGCTGAAAATAGCATGACCTTGACATTCTCATAGTCACTAAATTACCAAGTACTTTCAGTTTTGAGTTCGGCGATTCATTTTTATTTTAAGTGTTTTTAATAGTTTCCATGATAAAGAAAAGTAATCATTAAGGCAAAAAAAAGTAATTGAGATTTATGGTAGATACACTTTTACTGTCCAATTCAGTAAAATATGCTGCATCTTCAACACTAGAGATGCTACACTAGTCTCAACATTTTGTTTTGTTTAAATTTTATTAGTACATATTTGCAGTAATACTTATTGTATTGATTGTGGAGAGAATTACATCTTAATTCCTTTTACAGCACGTTGCTCATAATTATTCAAGCAGAAATTTTTAGAGATCTGAAGTAGTAAGTCACATTCTTTTCCTAGATTTATGTGGAAATTGCCATTAAAGATTTTTATTGGCAGAAGTTACCCTTGCTAGTGTAAAAAGGAAGACTTTTTTCCATCTGAGTTCAACAAGCTACTTATTTATTTATTTACTGGTATTTTTGAGACAGGGTCTCATTATACAGTTCAGGCTGGCCTTGAGCTCACTTTGTAGCCCAGGTTGGTCTTGAACTTACAATGATCCTCTTTCCTCAGCTTCTCAAGTGCTGGGATTACAGACTCAAATTAATTTAAATATCTGTCCTCTTCATATTAGTAGTAGGAAGATTAATGAGACTATGCTTTTCTTTACCAAGTTTGTTCACTCGTTTTTTCTTTATCATCCAACATTTATGGGTCAAGTACTATAATCATTTTAAAATTTAAAAAAAAAATTTTTTTAATTTAAGAGGAAAAAGAGAAAAACACAAAACAAACCAAAGTGGTGTAAGGGTACACGTAATACAGAACTACAAAAAAACAAAACAAAACAAAAAAAAAAAAACAAAACAAACAAAAAAACATAACAGTAAGAAATCACCTGTTAGTATATTACATATTATCATCTTGAAAATAGTTCCTCAAATCACAGTATCAAAGAATACAAGGTGGACATTCAAACAGGTAGACTGCAAACAGCTGTGTTCAATGATCCAAAAACATTGATACAGTCAGCTATTTAACACCCCTAAACACACTTGCTGTTATATCCGTTAGAGCTCTTTTTCTTTTTTTTTTTTCCCTATCTTTTTTACAACAAAATTCACACACTTTGGATTTCATTACTCCTTAGTGCTTATTACTTTTTTTGGGGGGGGGGGAGAATACAGTCAAATATGGCAAAACAAAGCTGTCAGTCAATACCAAGGATAGACATAGCACATGATGTAGAACAGAGTACAAGTTTATCAACAATGGTTATCAACGTTGTCCCTTGTTTCCTTAAAAAGAATTGTCTATCTCATTAGATATTATAAAGTTGGACAAAACAGTAGAGAACAAGACCAATAAAACTTAGGCATTGTAAACATTACAGGACTTCCAAAGAAGACAATAGTCAAACCAGAATTGGTATCTTAGTGAATCTTATTGTCTTCAAAGTAGTTGCCTATGTCTTCAAACTTGATACTACCATATAGAATGGAACAGAGTCTAATCAGTCAAAACAGGATCGTGGGAGTACTACAGGACTTCAAAACAAGTTAATAGGAAATCAAAAAGAGTTACTATTTATATATCCTAATTTTTTGAATTTTTTCTTTAATTAAGACAAACATAAGAAATGACTAAATAATTTTTTTAAAACAATAAGGGGGAGATTGAGATAAAACAGGACATAACAATATAACAATAGAGGTCACAGCATGACTGTTTCAACAACCTAGTACTTCACCACCATATAACCTGACTTAATAGTAGTTACCATAGTGTCTTTTTCCTTGAAATATTTGGATAAAACTTCATATACTCTAGCTTCAAATATTTTCAAATCAAGAAGCCCAGAATAAAGCCTTTCTAATTAATGAGTGAAAACTTTATAAGGCTCCAAGGCCACCTAATGGGGAATCATGATTACCACATATTTTTATATATTTGAATCATTACTTACATTAGGGAAACTATTCGGTATTCACACATGCGAGATTGATTTATTTCACTTATGAGTATGGTCTCAAGCTGCGCCCATTTATTGATAAATATCTCAGTGTGATCCTTCTTTATAGCTGAATAATACTCCATTGTATAGAAATACCACAACTTTTTTATCCATTCCTCAGTTGATGGACACTTGGGTTGTTTCCAAGATCTGGCGATTACAAATTGTGCTGCTATAAACATAGGTGCACATATATCACTGTGGTATGATGCTTTCAGTTCATGTTCTACATAAGGATTATATTCATGTGGGGAGTTCGTACATGTACATATCATGTTTTTTTTTTCCTTCCGTTCCACTCCTTTTACAAAACTATATTGCCAGCATCTTATTCATTTATTTTATAAATCCTTATCAAGTTAATTGCGCTAAATACAGATTAACAGGAAAATCATCCAAGAAACAAACAAAACACACTGGCACTAAATCACACTTTCAGATATAAAAAGCCTGTTAATTTACAAAGTTCATCTTTCAGTCTCAAACACTGGTATGACACCGTTGACTCCATTTCTCACATGAGAATGAGTTTCACTTAAATCAAGTGATTTGCTGAAAGCCATACAGTTGGTAAATAGGAAAGCCTTGATTTATGTAGGATAACAACTACCAGGTTTCTGGTCTTACCTTTTATGTCTAAATGATGGGTTAATGTTTGGTTCCATTTTCCTCCTCAGTTTCTGTGGAGACTCTTTTAAGTTGTACACATGCATTCTTAAGATCACAGTTCCATTGGTTTCTGACTCAGAAGACTTAAAGGCATAAATGTCTAAGCCGCTTACTACTTTTGGGAAGTGGGTGTTAGAGCCTAAATTTTTTAAAATGCTAGAATTCGAAGTAGAAAAATAAATGAATTTCTTAAAATGTATGAACTTGCATAAGGATAAAAACCCAACTAAAATAAGAGTTCTTACTCTTGTGAAAATTAATTCCACTGATAACCCATACAAGTGTGCTTTATGATTTGTTATTCATAATGTATCAGTTATTGCCATTTTCATATTCCTGTGTACCCTTGCCAGTGCAAAACCTAAGACTTCTTTCAATCTGAGTTCAAAAGAGTTTCACATACAATTCTCAGAAAATGTAGTAAGGTTCCTGATTAATTTAGTATAACTTGTTATGAGGTAAAAAATTTACATATGTCATGTGTATAAATATATGAACATATATACACATATGTATATATTCTTTGAGATACCTCTGAATTTTACTCATTTAATGTCACTGTACTCTCATTTAAAGAAAAAAAGTTCCATATTCAAAGTGTTCAAGCCAAAGATCATTTCAAAAAGTATTTCCTGTCTCAACTTTTTTATACCCATCCTTTGGAGTCATTTTAATGAAATCAATTTTTTTCTAATTAATAAATGTGATAGTGGTAGTGTTTGGTAAGTGTTTGAGTAGGCCTATATGTACAGTAAGGTGAATCTGAACTGCTGATTTGAATTTTACAACAATTCTGTCATAAGATATATGATTATATGGGAGAAATTTTCAAGTAATTAAGGGCTTGTGTTTGTTGAATTTATCATATTCAAAGAACTGAAATTTTGCAATGGAGTTTGAAAGCCATTAGATCTGCTTATGTATTATTTAGTTCATGATAATGACATTTTCATTGATCTCGTATTTCACAATACATTTTCTCATCTCCTAAAAAAAAACTTCCAATAATCATCCAAAGAATGAATTACATTTTTAGCAGATAGATTATTTAGTTCTCTTTTCAGCAAAGGTGACTGAAAAAACAAAGTTGAAATGGAATCAAATATAGAGTGTATTAATCTTTTCTGAGATCACTACCTAATTTCCAGCAGTCAATTTTGATTTATTTTAAGTTGTAAAATAGAGCACAACAGATGTGGCTACCAGGTTATACCTACTTGTTGCTTGAATTAGGAGAACACAACGTTAGAGCTTGATGCTTTCATTAGCTATGTTTCTGTAGCATGTTCTGCATATTCAAAAACATGTCTAGTGGACGTAGGGATCTGTGGTCAAGTACTTCAGTTTTGATGAGGGGTAAAAAAGAAAGAGAAGCTAAGAGAAACTTTGTATCTTTCTAGATCCATCTTAATTATAGAAGAGATGGAATAGGTTCTTGAGGATTAATGTGGAATGGAAATCCTGAATATGCAGTGTTTGTATGTAAATACCTTTAAATACAGCAGCCTCAGATCCAGAACATTGAAACAAGTTTAGGGGAATTCTTGAGTTTGTTTTTGTTATATGAGATGGATGTGGAGAAGTTACAGAAATAATTAGTGTTGATAGTGGTATCTTAGTGTCAGAATTATTGTGTTGGTAATTATGTTTCTTGAGCTCTCAAATGTCTTGGGCAGGTATTGTTAACCCCATTTCACAGATGACCAATCTATGGTGTAGGAAAGCAAAGAACATTAGCCAATGGTCATACTGCTAATAAGTGGCAAGATTTACACTCAGATCTCTTCCCAAAGCCTGTGCATTTAATTATTATATGTACCATTCTGTTAGACTAGTTTTAGTTCTAGATCTGTAAAGTTTTCTGTGGCTTTGGCTGAATCCCTTGTTTTCCTTGATTTCTGTTGCCTTAACTGTACCACACTGAAGTTGAACATTAGATGACTTCTAAGGACCTTCCAAATTTTAGTCTCTATTTGTCTTTCAAATCTCCAAAATATACTTGTGTTGAAGAGTCCACTTTCTTAAACCTGTGTCCTACTGGTTAATTTTACTTAGACCAACGCTTATGAGTTGCTTTAGGAGGCTTCAGTTCTTACAAGGAAAGTTACTAAATGTAGTTTAGAAAGTGTAAAATGTAATTGGAAAGTTAAACTAATGGCATGTCAGGAGTTTCAATAACTTGTTCCTCAGTTAAGCTATCTTTTAAAGCCACTTTAAGCCTCTAGAAGTGGTCCTAAAAGTAAGCTTGATAACATCTATTCAAAAAAATCTATGAACATTCATGAAGGTGATAGCACATTCCTGTAATCCTAGCACTCTGGGAAGCTAAAGCAAC